GGGGACAAGGTGAAGCCCAGGCAGCTCCGTGTGGCCGTGAGGAAGAACTTGTTTGGTGGGAGGGTGCCCGAGCCCTGGCCCAGGCTGCCCGGGGAGGCTGCGGAGGCTCCTGCTCTGCAGATCTTCCCAAGGCTCCTGGATGCCCCTGGGTGCCCCGTGCTCTGGGTGTCCCTGCGGGAGCAGGGGCTGCGCTGGGGGATCCATAGGGGTCCCTTCCAACCTCAGCCATTCCAGGGTTCTGTGAGGGGCATTACAGCAGCTCATCCTCTTTAGCATTTCCAAGGTAGCAAGCCCTCCCTCAGAGGCGTTCGGACAGGTAAATGTGTCCTGGGAACAGAACCTGGATATCCAGGAGCCACCTTACCCAGGAGAAGGCATCTACAACCTCCTGCACAAGCTACCTCTTCCTCTCTCGTTACATCCAAGGCCAACTCCCAATTTTGGGAGAGGGATAGTGGTTGGCCAGTATGTTGCCAACCACAGCCCACATCAGGGGCTGGATGAGCATCATCAAGGTCCTCCTCCCTGCACAGAATSAGCCCATGCCACCACACGGACCAGGGAGGTGGTCAGTGCTGGGGTGGCAGAGCRGCCGGGGCAGCCTGGGGGACATGCCAAGGCCCAGCTCTGGCTCGAGGGCATCTTGTCTCGAGGGCCAGGGGTTCACTCGGGTAGTGCATAGACAAGTCTCACAGTCACCATGTGCTTCCCTGGGCTGGCAGAAAGGCAAGGCCTGGACAAGTCTCAAACAAGACACAGCAGAGGGCTCAGCTGGGTCCTTCTGAACCTCTCCTAAGCAGAGCTGCCTTAAGCAGATGCATCCTGCAGTGTTGGCATCTGAGGAGAATCTCTTCTTCTCCAGCCCAAGCCTAGACCTAGCCTATACCTGCCTACCATCTGGCTGAGACCTCAACAGGGCCCAGAGCAACAGAGTTAACGGGAGATTTGCTCCACTATCCATTAGCTTCTTTGCTTTTAATCTGCCTTTCGGTAGTTGCAGGACCTCCTATGAGCTCAGCATGTGAAATACAAGCTAATGCAGCTAATTAGCCCCAACAAGACAGAAAAAAAATCTTTGTTAAGCAAAGTGCATGTTTTTAGAGAATCTTTAATTGTGCAGGTGTAATTAACTGCAGCTCCAAACCTCTGGTTATTTAGGTGCTCAATTACCAAGCTCAGACAGCAAACAAGGGACAGAGAATTTCCTGCTCTAGCACTTGCAGCTAATCTTAAACGGTGTCCCCAAAACTGGAGGTTTCAAGCAAGATACTTTCAAAGTTTCACTCAAAGGATGCAGTCAAATCCAACCATTACTAGCCTTACATTCCAAGTATCCTCCTATTTTAGGAGTGCAGACTRGCTGTCATTCACCCCGAGCAGAGAAACCCAGCAGGCAAGTCCCACTCCAAGCCTGCTCCGCATTAAGCGTGTATACTATTTATCCTTAGTATAAATGCACTAAGGATATCGGCRTCCAAAATTCTCTCAGCTGCTCAGCATGAGCCCAGTGCCGTGCTCCTGCTCTGGCGGGGGCTCTGCTGCAGCCCGAGCCCTTCGCTGTTGGCAGGGCCAGGCGCCACAGCAGCAGCGATGCCCCGCGCAGCTCCCCGGGAGCAAGAGCCAAGCAGCCCGTCGGCAGGTCCCGAGCGCCATGAGCCCCTTTCAGCAGCTCCCACCACAACACCCCTACCTCGGCACTTCTGCAGAGTGCTCTTCTCACTTCATTCTTTTAATTCCCTAGTTCTCTCTTTCATCCTCTTCTGAAGATTTCAGCTTTAAGGAGCATCCTAGGACAAACTGACCAAGGCATGGGAACACTTACCTGCTTCCTTCAGCGCTTCCTCTTCCCCCAGTTCTCTGCACACCCAGTATCACCTGCCAGTCACTAGTGCCCTGGGACTCGAGCACGGCTACTATTGCCATGGTGGGCAAATGCCAGCCCTGCACGGAACTAACAAGTGCTTAATTTGTGCGTTTCCCCGCCCCGTTTCTGATCGTCAATCAACATAGCAAATGAGGAAGCAAGTCATTCAGTAAGCAGACTTCCCAGCAAACTCTCCATAAGGCCCTTTTGCATCCCGCCTGCTCCATCCTGCTTAGTGTAACAGCACTTACMTTACAAAATGATTGCTCACAATAAAACCATCCCTAAGGGTACCAGGTGAGCTCCAAAACTGCGTCCTCTGCTGGGGAGCTGCAACAGGAGCCTTATGCTCCACTTCCCAATTTGAAATTGATTATTTTACATGAATTCACATTTTTAGYAATGTTCTCAGACTCACTACATCATAATTGCATTAAGTCTTAATTAACAGAGAACATGCAAAAACAGGAAAAAAGTGTTAAATGTCACCTAATGATACCTGGGGTATAAATGTATAACCACAACTAGGAATGTTTTTGCTTCCTTAGACAGCATTAAGAAAGAGGAGGGTATAATTAAGTGCAAGGTGCTAAGGAAAGCTGGCTGCTTTTACTGCCCGAGGTTGCTTTCTTTAAACCACCTTCTAGAAACCCAAATGTAGCAAAGAACCTGCAAGAGGTCACCTAGAGCCAGGACAGACTTGKGTTTCAAGCACAAAAAGAGCTGAAGTTTTATATATTACATTTTTCCACTCCTTACTTGAGGTACATAGGGAAAACTGATGGGGCACTTCATAGATGCCTAAAGCAGAATTGCTTAATTGCAAGTTTTAAACAAAATCAGCTTCTATGCCTGGCATGTAATGTCTCAAAGAAACCTGGGAAAACACAAGGTGAATCACATTCTTAAAATAGATACTCAGGGGCTTATTTTAGCAGCTCACTTCCAAGATCTGATAACATAAAAATAAATTATCATTTTGAAAATATTTACAAAGCTTGCAAACAAAACAGCATAACCTTCTGTGTAAAAAAAAGACTAAAACTGCTAATAATGCTAACAATTGCCAATAAAAAGCAGATGGAAAGCTTTTTTTCAGGAAAAAAATACATTTACTGTAARGAGAATAGTGACTATCGTGCCAGATACTTCCCCTCAGCCTCGTCCGATACTGCAGGCTGTCTGAACACAAGAATCAAGCCACGATATATTGTCAAGTTGCATATATAAATTCTGCTCAGATGAAAAAGGAAGGCTTAAAAATAGATGTCCCAGCATCCCTGTAAGCCGCGCATTATCTCTTGGAAGCGACAGAGACCCTCTGTAGACCTCACCCTAAGGAATCRGGCCCAGGCTGCGCTATACATTAACAGCATGGGCAAGAAAGGGCATCTTCCCTTGCCTGGAGCTGCTCTTGGGCAGCACTGCCCAAAATACGGCAGCAGACTCACACTGGGGACCTGGAACTCAGCAAGCARATATAGAGGCCTGCCTGCCTGACTCCAGGAATATCTAAATGCAGGTGAAATGGGAAAGGTCGATGGAGTTTGCTTAATGCCTGCATGGCTGCAACCTAAAYCACACTGCTCTAAATTCCTGGAGTGCTTTACAGAATCCTTATGGTGGGAAAAGACCTTTARGATCATGGAGTCCAACCATAAACCCATCACCCCTGTGCCTACTAAACCCYTGCATCTTGCCCTACCTGTGCTTGAATGCCCCAGAGCAGTTTTTGGCAGCTAAGGGCAGGCACAGGAGCAAACCCAGCTCCTACCTAAACTCAGCCCATGCTTTTGCCCAGACAATGGCAGTGCAGAGGAGGMGAGATTCACTGCTGTCTTGTTTGAGAAGATGACAGCTGATATTGGGCAGGGAACCATCTGCCAAAGCTTAAACCTGGCATTGCAAGAGGTGCCAGTGCCCCAGGATTTTTCTTTTTCTTAACACTTGCAGGAATGCTAAGACAGGATGGAAATTTAACAGGAAGGTGATAAAAAGGCTAACATTGCCTTGGCTAACAAGGCCAAGCTCTCGTATTTTGCTGCAGAATTGCCCTTGAGACCACCAAAACTGTCACACTYGCTCGTCAGTGGTTAATCCACACAAAAATCTGCAGGTTTCAGAAAGTGACAACACAAGGCTGAGAGCACAGRCCGAGGTGTGAGATGGCAAAGAGAAATCTATAAGCAGGCAAAATAAAGAGAAATCAATTTTCCATCCTGAATCACAGATGAGAAAATAGAGATTTTTATATATATATAAATATATATATATATATATATATAGAGGCATCTCTGGTCACTCTCTTGCTAAAATATTTCAGTTGAGCAGCTTGTTCTGATCCTGCAGCACCACCAGCTTTGCTGCTGCTTGAGAAAGTGCCTCTCTTAGCTGGATTGTAAAAGTTTGGGTAACAGGGAACACTCCACAAAGTAACAGGCACTGAGGGGCACAGATTTGGAGCAGCTCCCACCTTCCTTCCCTGTAACAGCATCTTGTGCCATAAGAAATCCCCTGAAAAGCAGTGAGATGTCCTCAAAGAGGGAGGTGCTCCCTCCCAAGGAGGGGGCAGAGTGAGCTGCGTCCGCGAGGGAACCAACACAGGTCACAGCTCCCACTCAATCGGCTACAGGATGGAGGGCAGAGAGCGGCGGGACCTTTTCTGGCACATTGAGAGCTTTTAGGTCTGAGATCCCGCTCGGTTCCTTTCCTCCAGCTCCTGCCTCAGCTGTGTGGTCCCCAGAGCCCAGCAAGCTCAGCTCATGTGAGGACAAGAGAGGTGTTGAAATCAGTATCTTGCAAAATAATAATAAAAAAGCCCTTGCAATGTATTCTAGTATTGAAAATCTTATATGGATACGGGAACCATAACACTTGGTTATAGGCAATAAACACTRATAGGGCCCCGTCTCTCACTGCCCAGCTTGTCCCCAGCAGAGGAGGGTCAAAGGGAGCAGAAGGAGAGGTGGCAACATCAGAACAGGCAACAGGGCAAAGAACGTGACACAAACACAGAAGAAAGGAGAAGGGATGGAGGCCGCAGCACTGCCCTGGCCCAGGCCGCGGGGAGGCCGTGGGTTCCGGGGGGCAGGCCGGGCGGCGCGGCGGCACCGCGGGGCGGCTCGGCGGGGCTCACCTGTGGGCGCGGGTGGCCGGTGACGAGGCAGGTGAGCTCCAGCGTCTCGCCCTCGCGGATGGTGTAGACGCGCTCCGAGTAGCGCTCCTCCTCGATGTTGCACGCCAGGCCCGCGTGCACGATGCGCACCGTGGGGGGGGCTGCGGAGACACGCACACGGTGAGCGCCACGGCCGCCCTGCGGCACCCCCTGCTCCCACACCCCATCTTCCTCCATCCCGCAGGAGCCACGCGCCAGCGGAGCCGCCAGCCCGGCCGGCAGCGCGAGGCGAGGCCGCTCGCAGCCGGTGCACGCCATTCCCAGAGGGTTTGGCACCTTGCTCATCAGCCCCAGCCCTGCCCGGCACGGTGCCTCGCCGGCTGACTCACACTGCCGCTGTTTTTAATATCCACATGAACTTTCACTTATTGTTCTTTTTATTATATGTCTTTCTAAGCATGTTATCGCACTCATTATACAAATGAGATGCCTTAATCACACCAACAAAACTAAGCAGCAGAAACAGTGGGGCAGGTGCTACCTTCTTTTAAAGCAGATACTAATATTGTAAATCCAGGGAAGAAGACCGGGGCTCAGAGCTGCAGTTTCAGCGTAACTCAGGAGCTTTGGTTTTCCTGCATGTGCAGCCTCGCCGACAGGAAGGTGCAGGGCTCAGAACACTACAGCCATGGCTTGCACTCGTGTCCCRGGCTCCAACCACCCAGCTGCATCCCTGCTTCCAAACCCACATCCCATCACAGAGTGAACCACAGCACACACCACCTTCGGACAAGACAACCAGTAATCCAAGCTTCTGACCCTGCCTCTGAAGAAAGGGAGGCGCAAGCAGAGGACTCCGAGCAGRACAGTGTCAAATCAGCCAAACTGTCAGGGAGAGATTACATATTTCAGCTGGAATGACCAAGCCTGGTATTGGCAGCTACCTCGCCCTGCCCCATCCATCCCAGTCCTCTGCACTCAGATCATTCCCAAAGTGCCCAGCCTTGGGTAAGCTGTTGTGGAGCTTAGAGGAACATGGCCTAGACAGTGCACCCAGGCTCAAGCACAGCAGCTCCAGGCAGTGGATGGGCCCTGCATCTCTGGGGCCTTCCAGGTCTATCTACCTGCTTGGAAGATAGTGACAAGAAGCAACAAAGGCTCAGAGGGGACAACTGGAGCTGAGCAGGGCTGAACTAAGACACATTCTCCACACCCCCAACTGCAAATTAAAAGTCTCTGCAGTAGTTTCWATTTTGCTGCAGATTGGTCAGGCCCACCACACTTCCTACATGTGCCACCGAGATCCAAGAGGGACATATCTCTGGGAACATGAGCCTCTCCTCAAGCRACGTCAATAAACACAGAACCCCAGAATGGCTGACGTTGGAAGGGACCCCTAGGGATCATCCAGCGCAGCCCCTGCTCCMGCAKGGACACCCAGAGCACGGGGCACCCGGGCRCATCCMGGCGCCTTGGGAAGATCTGCAGAGCAGGAGCCTCCGCAGCCTCCCTGGGCAGCCTGGGCCAGGGCTCGGGCACCCTCACACCAAACAAGCTCTTCCCCACGGCCACACGGAGCTGCCTGGGCTTCACCTTGTCCCCACTGCCCCTTGTCCTGGCACTGGCCACCACCCAGMAGAGTTTGGCCCCTTCCTCCTTCCATCCTCCCCTCAGGTGTTTGTCCATGTTGATCAGATCCCTCTCACCCTTCTCTTCTCCAGGATAAACAGAAGCAACTCACTCAGTCTCTCCTCACACAAGAGCTGCTCCAGTCCCTTCACCATCTGTTGCTCTCTGCTGGACCCTCTCTAGAAGCTCCACGTCCCTCTTGTACTGGGAGSCCAGACCTGCACACAATAACRTGCACCTAAGCACACATCTAACTAAGCACCAGAATGAACCCAATACCACCATTTCTAAGCTGAGAAGGAGCTCTATTTCCTCCTCCAGATGCCAAGGGCTTGGGATGCCCTGGTCCCACCTGCAGCTCTGCTCCTCTCCTGCAAAGCAGATACCTGAACACCAGAACACCCAAGTGGAGCCTCGGAGCAGAAAGGAAAGACAGGGTTCAGCCTAGACCACGAACTTGTGATAAAATAAGAAGAGTCAGCAACATTATGCCAACATCCTGCTGCCTTTTAAATTTATATTGCATTAATATTACATTTTCATTCATATTATATTCATATTACTTCAAATTACATTTGAAGTGTCCTTCATTTCAGTGTCTGTACCACTTTTCCATAGCCATTAARGTTTGGAAAGGCAATATACGGAAGAAAAAATATCCCCCTGTGCATTATTGGGACCAAAGTACACACTGCTTTAGGAGAAACAAAGGGAAAGAAAAAAATCAGAAACATTCTTCCTTCTTTAAGTTTTAATGTCTTATGGTTCAGAAGATATTGCATAATTACAAAATGTCACCTCCTTCTCTACAGCAGGAATATTCATTACAGCTACTTCTGAGATGCTCCTCCAAGGATTAAATATCAGACAAGACATTAAAGTAATACATCCTTGGCATTTATTTTGTTTGTGGCATTTTAGAAGAATTTGTCTTGTGATTATACACGGTAAATATTGCATGAAAGGATCCATCATGCTTCTATCCCTGGCAGAACATACACACAGGGTGGAAAAGCCAAGGGTGAGGTCGGAAGGAAAAGCCATAACAGCCAGAAAACTCCTTGCTTTTGCTCCAAGGAACCCGCGTGGCGCCAGGAGATTTCTTCTTTCACATGAAAGAYGGTGCCAGCCTGACCTTTCTCGTCGCTCGCTATCTGCTGATGTTACCTACATCTCTGCTGGCTGCTCTTTTCCAGYCGTTTCAATTTCCTGTTACACACCYTCATCCCTCCCTAAGCAACTTGGTTTCAGCTTGCAAAAAGTTGCCTAGAGAGTAGAAATCTAGGATTAAAAACTGCCAAAGATTCCTGTAGAAGCAGAATTAGCAATGCCAAAGTAGTGATGTTTGCAGGGATCTAATGGGAAGACGCAGGACAAACCATTGGAGCACAGTCAACTTCCATGGGAAAGGCACCAAGTAAAGCTTGGGTTCTGGAGCAACACAGGGATAAAATACGAATTTCTTAAACCAGAGGAAGCCTCTGAGCTTTTGAAGCCAAGCTGGTCACCCAGAGAAAGCAAACAAAATGTGAGAGCAGTGGCCAGCGGTGACACATGGGGACTCACAGRACACACGTGGAGCTGTGCTGCAGGAAGGGCTTGTGCCACTGGAGAGCTTCAGCTGCTCCCATTTACCTGTTGGCAACTCTCGCTGCTTAAATCACAAAACTCACAATATATCAAGCATGTTTCCCCGCTTTATTCAATTACAGAATCTGCTGAAATCTTAAAAATTATGTATATARTCTCCATTCTAATTGGAAAAAGAGCCTTTTATACACAGCTAAMGAAAGCTGGTGAATACGCTTACATCATCTCTTAATTGCTCCAAAAAGATAAACAATCCAAGGAGTTTTCATTCGTTATCAATCTCAGGATTTTTCAAGCCAATCTCACAAGTTTAAGGCATAAGACTTCCTTATGGGTCTATGACTGTGACAYTGCAAGTTAGAAAAGCAGGTGGAAWGGYTAGTGRCWTCTTCAGTAATGGGAAGAACCTTGGAGGGACCGTCGTGGAGGAGCCCTTGGCTGCAGGCCACCTCCGGGACACTGCCACAGTCCACCAGGGTTATTGATTGAGGGCTACTGATTGATCCCAGACAAGGATGCAAGCAAAGCAACCCAGAGACCCGTATAAGAGGTCGCCCTCCAATGTCTCCGGCCCAGAAGAGCCTCCCCGGCAGCCGCAGATGCAGGAGCGCAGTGCGGAGCTGCCTGCCGTGCAAGAGGAACCGCGCCGCTGTGCGAACACGTTCAACTGGAAGGAGATCTTTAGGCAGAGGAGGATCCCAGCTAGCCCGTGTTTATGTCCGAAGGATGACCATGGCTTTTTTCCCCCCATCGCCTCTCCCCCACACRACCTGGAGCATACCTATGGATACCAACACACACACATACCATATGTCACAGACCRTAAGTTTTTGATGCTTGCCTGGCAGGAGGGGCAATAAACAGCGGGGTAATGAGTTGTAAGAGGCAGGGGGAGATGAAACCCTGTCTGTTCCTCGAAACAGCACCATATTTCCCCTCACTCAGTAGACGCTCCGCTCATGAGCCCTGTCGTGTCAGAACTGGGTCAGCCTGTGACAGCGCGTCRGGAAGCGGAGCGGGATTTAATTAGCTCAGCGCCGCTTTCTGCTCGTGCCATCAATCAGCGCAGATTCGGAGCACTGGAAACACAGTTTGGGGCCCAGCAACACGAGAAGAGAGCCAGGAAGCTGGCAATGGCGAGCCAAGCAAGGAGGGGAAATAAATAAAATTAAAAAGAGTTATCCATGAGAGCTGCAAGGCAAGGAGGAAGCTGAGGTGAGGCCAGGACCAGCGCCCTGCTCAGGGCATGAGAGGCCAGCACGTGCATAAGGCAAGAGGAAGGGGGAAATACATTGCACCAATACATGGATCCTTCAGACCAAACGTCACCTGGATGTGGTGGCCTGCATGTCACTTAACCTCCCCCAGGAAGGGGAGGTGGCAGATGTCCCGCCACCAGCAGTAAAACACCCCRGGCCGCCCTGGCGAGAGGCCCTGCCACGGGGCAGCGTCCTCGCCACCGCGACGATGGAGCCTCCGGGCACGCCAGCTGCAGGGAGCACGGCCAGGAACGCAGACGAGCACGGCAGAGACCCAACTCCAGTGCCACAAACACAGCAGCGCTTCCTTTAAGTCTTCTTAGAGAAAGAAAAAAATTATTTCCTCTTTATTATGCTGCAGATCTGCATGAAATTCATTRGGGTCCTCACTTGTGGTAATTGGTTTTATGAGGAAAGCATCAGTGTGAAACCACAGGAAAGCCACACGCGCTGGTTGCCCTGCTCCTCGTGCATCTCTCCATGACGGAGGGATCAAGAAGCAACCGTGGGGCTGCAAACCCTGCTGCTGCAGCCCAGGGACAGCGGAACACGAGGAGAAACGGGGCAAACACCCCACGGGAGCAGCAGCCAAAGGAACCAGCCCTGGGAYGGCACCAAGTCCCAGGTCTGTGGCACAGCAGGACGCAGGTGAGGGGTAAAGGTGGAGGAAGCACTTCCACTTCTCCAGGCCATGGATCTACATCCACTAACCTACATCCCCATGAGCCCCATTAAGGGCATGGGGTTAATGAACACTCAACCTAGGGAAATAAAACAACAGTCTGTTAAATACCAACCAAGCAGAGACTGATTTAAGGCACCCCCCAGGTCTCCTGTGGGTTTGACAGTTCTGTCCACRTGGATGTGGCTGCAGGATGGGGGTAAACATTTTCCTGCAGTCACAGCRGTATTTTATTCACAATAAGCGCACACTACCTTTTCTAACAGTATCATTACGAGTCCCCTACTTCACATATATCATTTTTTAATTACATTTTAAGTAAACCTGCAAGTGCCACAAATCATGGGGATTTTATCATTGCTCAGATTAAGAGAAATAATTAAGAACATGAGCTACAACACTGTTCACAATTTAAGTTTCTCACTATAATTTTCTTGGGGTTTTAATTTTTTTTTTTTCAGCAAAATTCCTGCTTATGCAAGTGGAACTGTGTCCTAGAAGCCCCAAGGCAGCTCCTTCCAAGTTGGCCAACTGGCACCATGTTGGTTTCCAGTGAATCCCAAGAAGTACAAATAAAGAATATTCCTTGCAAAAASCTCTTTTAACCAGAGTTTTATAGAAAACATAGGGAGGGAAACCTCTCCCAAAAAAGGCTAAACAGAACTAACTAGAATCCAAGTTGTTAAGTACTCAGTAACTCTCTACTTATTCTTCCCAAGTGTTTGTCTCCCTGTTTAGCAATAAAATTCATAGATAAAACTACTCTCTCCATAGAGGGACCAAAGGAATGGTGACTGTTTTGGTCCCACCTCTGCTCGCTCTGCCTGGATGGTCACAACTTCCACCATAGAATCATAGAATGCCGAAGGTTGGAAGGGACCTCAGAGGTCATCGAGTCCAACCCCCCTGCTCACGCAGGGTCACCTAGAGCACGTGGCACAGGGCTGCATCCAAGCGGGTTTTAAAGATCTCCAAAGAAGGAGACTCCACAGCCTCTCTGGGCAGCCTGTTCCAGTGCTTTGTCACCCTCACAGTGAAGAAATGCTTCCTTAAGTTCCTGTGGAACTTCCGATGCTTCAGTTTGAAGCCATTTCCTCTAGTCCTGTCACTGGCCACCACTGAAAAGAGGCCGCCCCCCTCCTCCTCACTGCCTCCCTTGAGGTATTTATACACGCTGATCAGGTSCCCCCTCAGCCTCCTCTTCTCCAGGCTGAACAGRCCCAGCTSYCTCWGCCTTTGCTCAYAGGGCAGATGTTCCAGGCCCCTGATCATCCTGGTAGCCCTGCGCTGGACTCTCTCCAGCAGCTCCACATCCCTCTTGTACTGGGGAGCCCAGAACTGGACGCAGTACTCCAGATGTGGCCTCACCAGGGCTGAGTAGAGGGGGATGATCACTTCCCTCGACCTGCTGGAGACGCTTTTCTTAATGCACCCCAGGATCCCGTTGGCCTTCTTGGCCACCAGGGCACACTGCTGCCTCATGGTCAACTTGTCGTCCACCATGACACCCAGGTCCCTCTCTGCGGGRCTGCTCTCCAGCAGGTCCACCCCTAATCTGTACTGGAGCAGAGCTCAGCTGGGAGCCAGGCTTAAGGGTGGACATCCCTGTTGTCCTGGCTTATCAGAGATACCTGTGRCACTGCTGCCACGTCTGCAGGGGCAAAGAGCTCCCAACGCAACTGGTGTTGCTGGGTCACCATCGTGTATCACCTCTGCAGGTGACAAACAGCCAASAATAATTTCCTGGCAGAGACTAGAGGAAATTGTCTCCTGATTTACTTCTTGCTCTTTCTTTTGCACCTCACAGTGAGCTAACTCAATTCAMGGAGACAGACTGCTCCTCTCCATGCTGCAGGATTGCCAGAGTGCACCCTCCAATAAGATTAAGACATTTTGGATGCCAAGATATTGTTCTCAAAAACAAAACAAACCAACAACAAAAAAAAAATGAGGATAATATAGGGAACTGCTCTGCAGTCATGGATGCAGTTGGGCCACCCTCATGGTGACAGACYGTCTATTGAGTAGGAAACAAGGACTGAACTGCCCAAAACACCAGCAGCAGGACAAAATCCTCCTGGCGCAGGACTAGGATGAGGTTTCTGAGGAAGAGAATATCCCCCCGTGCTTCCCCTCCCTAAACAAGGCCCTCRCTTCTGCGTGGCAGCCTTGACACTGGCATTAAAGCTCCTGTCCCACTAGGCATGTTTCCCCACGCCACACGAATGGTACCCTCCAACTTCCCTGTGCAAAAGCACTGGCTCTGAAATCAATACCTCCAAATTGCCATCTCCAGATCTGCCGAGATAATGACACTGTCATTTCTTGGTTATTTTTCAGTGTGCTGGGTTGACAGATCCTTTGCATGCAATAAACATAGCATCTGTCCAAAATCACAGCAATTTGGGGGAAATTATGCAAGACAAAAAGCAGACTAAACTCTTCCTACACTACCTTTCCCATCCCTCTCTCCAAGTTGCTCTTCAAGTAGTTTTCAACCCACAGATTTCAGGCAGTGGGTTCAATGAATCTCCCAAAATAAGCAGAGCAATGATCTACAAGTGACAGGCTTAATTGAGACAACACTTTGTTGTTCCTGGCATCATAAAACAGATGATGCTGCCAGACCTGCTTCAACGGTAGGATAGTCTAGCAGTAAATATGCCTTACTTAGTACTGTATGCTCGGAACAGCCAATATGTTGACTTTCCCCCACCCAAAACAGCACAGATGCATGAAAACCAAAAAACTCCCCTCAAAAATGAAACCTGAAATTTTAGCCATCATTCCCACTTGCACACTTAGACAAAACACGTCTCACATGTTTTAACTGAAGAAACAGATAGTGGAATTCATGGTAAACAGCACGAAGCAGATGGATTCAGCACTGAAGAAACTGCATGCATATGTACATGTATATATTTATAACACTAAAGAAACTGGCCTTGGATCCCTACAGAAAATGGCAGGGGCCACTTTCCTGTTAGGAAAATTGAACTTCCAGAACGTTGAGGCTGTGACTGGAGCCACAGGAGGACTTAGGGGCAGGAGAAGGAAGATCCAACGCTGTAGGTGGAAGATGCAACGAGACCTTGCTYGGGACCAGGCAAGCCCAGGGTCTGTGGACTCCGGCCCTTCGCTCCCTGCTTCACACAGCCTCCCGTCCCCACTGTCACGGCCAAGGCTCTTGTGGGCTGCTGGTCCAAATGAGCAGAATATTCACCCACCTCCAGCTCCCGTCCCATCCCRCAGCCATCAGGACTGGCTGGGATGTGCTATGGAGCCTGGAGATGCTGGCACCTAGTGACATGACATTGCCACATGTCCCTGCATCTCACCTGAGTTACAAACCTAAGACACACAGAGCCCTCGGCTGCTCCAAACACCCTTCATGAAGGTGTCCCAAACGAGGGCAAGTGCCACAGGTGCCGTAAAACACACGGCACAAGAGCTGCCAAGGGCAGCGACCCCTCTGCTCCATCCCGAGAGGAGCCCAGCCTGGCCTCGGCTTTGGGACTCACCTCACTGGGAATGAAACAGGCCTCTGGAATGGCCTCCTTTGAGCTCCCCCGCTGGAAAAGGGTAATTTAACATTAACGAGGAATTTGAAAACACACAGCCATACATGAAAGTAAAAGAAAAAGACTGCTTTGTGGTGTTAAGAATAAACAGCTTTTTAAGAGGGAACTTGCATTTCTTGTGAAATAGCACAGATCTTGGTAGCTGTTGCACAGTGGGCACAGAAAACAAGCCGCCTTGCAGAAAAGGAAATATTCTGGAAGTTATTTTAATTCAGAAGATTAAAACTGCTTCCTGCACTACAGTACAGCACACCTCACTTAGAGAATCTTTGTTTTGAGATCTGCAATCCTGGATGTAGGAGTAACACGGATGACTGGAGTATGCTGCATCTCATGCAGCAAGGAGCCTCCCGATCCAGTACTCCAAGTACTGTCAACGCTCACGTTATTTCTTAGCGCTTGTTTCCTGCTAATGCTGTAAACCTAAAATGCTAGTGCCAAGAAAAACACTCATTTTCATATCAGCTCCACAATTTCACCAGGCCAGTGCGAATCCAGGGATATCCCATCCTACCCTGGCCTCGTGCCTCAGAGCTTCTCCATCGGCATCAATCCACTGCCAACCCATGGATTCAAGCGTTGTGCTGCACAACCTACACTAGTTGCTGATTACATTAAAAGGATTGAACTGTTTGTTTATTTATTGGTTTGCCATTTAAGGTTCACCGATTTCTCTGCTGTTACAAAATTCAGACACCTCTTAAAAGCTCATGTCTCAATCCCATGAGCTGGGCTTGTAAAAGCCAAGCAGAAAGTTAAAAACTGCTGAAAATAAAAGCCCAAACAGCCTGGATTTCCACAGACATGCTAAGGGCATCAAAGCATCCCTCCAGATAGGGCCTGTCCAGCAGCTCTCCAGGAATCTTCCCAACACTGCATAGCCCACTCCTGAAATTCCCAATCCTTCAAAATTACCTGGGATGCAGACGGGCAGATAGACAGCCCGGCAGCAACAGAAGTCACTTCCCTATGGATTTCGTTCCCTTGGGAAGCCCAACTACTAGCTCAGGACCAACGTGCCATTGGATAGGTGGCATCTTCAGAGAGCCGAGCCAGCTAGCAGCACTCCTGTGACTTACTGCCAGCAGACATCAACACATCATCAACAAATCAATAGGAATTAACGGGGAAAATTATTACACTGCCGCCCTGGTGCTTGGGCAGTGTTAAGTTGGGTGTTATTGTTTATGGCCCTTTTGCAGGGCCTGATGACATTGCTAGTTTTATTAACRGAGCACAATTAGCCATTAAGTTTCATTACGAGTTGCTCCTTCCATGAAGGGTTTCCGCAAACCCATTAAGTGTTTGGAGGGGGAACGCTGCTCATCCCTCCTGGCCAGGGTCAGCCTGGCTAACCCAACCTGCGGCAGGTGACCGACAGCCACGCCACCRGCATTAAACTCTGCAGACAAGAAATAAAAACACACCTCTGACATGGCGCTGATAAGGAAGCTGGTCAAAACAACCTGAGACTTCAGCTCAGGAATGGCCTAACACTCTTGCAAAAGGCATTTGATGGGGAGAGAGAGGACGAGTTCTCTTAAAAGTTGCTAGAAAGCTATTTTTGAACTCATTTTTAATTACCAAGACAAATTCAAATAGTTCCACAGTGCCCATCACTGAGGCTGGCCTCTGCCCTTGCTAGAATTTAAAAGGAACAAAAAAAACAAGAGCTCCAAAAATTCACCCCAAAACRGCCAAGCTCTGTTAAACAGCACAAGATGCGCCACATTGTGTAAGAACGTAAGGAGCCCAACATTTACCATCCCTGAAGAATTAACCTGCAAACACCATGACCAGTCTGCTCCCCATCCTTGTTTTAATTAATAACCATACAAAAAAAGGCCTGTTTCGGTTCCCACCGTGAGGATGTCTGCTCCATGCCCCCGGCTGCAGCCCCAGCAGGTGACAGATCCTGCCAAGGTGACACCAGCTCGCTCACACAGCCCTCGGGTGGTGGTTTAAGAGGAAAACCCTGCTACGCAGCTCAGCCGGCCACCCCTSTGTGTGGCTTCACAGCCTCCTTTGCGGAGCCCATCACCAGTTCAACGCAGGACGCACAAGAAGAAACCGAGCTGCAGGCCCTGCGTCACCAAAGGGGCTCTGAGGACAGCCCGACACAGAGGCAGAGCTCGCGTGTCATCGAATGGGCAAGGAAGGTCAAGACACCTACAGTCATGAGCTGTTCTATTTGTTCCAGTCCTAGGGGAAGSCAAGGTGGAAAGTGAGGGCAAAAAGCGGGACTGCCCTGTCCTCCTGCTCCAGCAGCTCAGCCTTTCCCTTGGCCATGCTGGAGCAAACACTGCCCTCCTTCCTGCTCCTGGGGGGAGATGTGCTTCAACACATGGTGTTGGTGAACAACAAAAAAAGCCCCACCTTTCTCCATCAGAATCCAAGTTCTGCATTCACTTCAAAATCCACAACATTGTGATTAATTTTTTACTGACTTTTCTTCCCTGCAGAACTTCAATCAGTATGTTTTTTTTCCTTCTCTTTTTAATTAGAGCTTAAAACATTTTTAACAGAGGAGTAATGAGTAAGCAGCATCTGCCTGCCATGACTTTTGGGTAAAAACTGAGCTAAAGTGACAGATATGACGAGTCTCCTCCACAGAGTCTAGCACTGTAATAGCAACAGAGGMATTACTGAGCTCTTTTCAGTACTTGGTGCTGGTCGCTGATCTTACCTTCAAAATACAAGTGTCCCTTTATTATTTTGATACTATCAGGGATAATATCATCGTAAAATATTTTGCAGAGTCTAGTACCCAAAGAGAGCTTCATATGAAACTTCCCAGTGGAAGCTTCATTTTCAGAGTTGATTCTGGTGACAGCCATGGTATTTCCAGTCACATTTCTTTCCTTGAATCTGTCACAAAGAGCACTTATATGGGAGCCAGGTCTCGGTTCTTTTGGAGTATTTTTCCAGGCAAAGCAGCAAGTTCCTGGTTGCAGAACTGACTCCAATACACAGGCAAGAGCTGCACATAAGCAGCCACAATAGACTTGTTCTAGAGGCTGAGCTGGGAGCATCTCCTCAGCCGGCACCATCCAGCACAGCCCAAACATCTTCAGCAGGAGCACTTTGATTGTCAGCTGCTGACAATCTCACCCTTACAC